TGATGCAACCCTATGTTTTTAAGGATTAGCTTGCCTAAAGGTGAAAAGTTAAGTCTGCAAAGCACATATGTCCACTGTAAATTCCCACATGTCTGAATGTAAAGGGACATCCAGTGTGTTTAAATTCTTCCCCTATTTTCCATCTGTTCTGCTGTCCTGTCTGTAACCATGGCAATGTGGTACTAGGCTCCCTTTCACAGACGTTGTAAAGCGGGCGATTAGTCAAGCTGAGACAGTTTCGTATCTAGCGGATGGAGTGAAAGCCCAGTTGAAAAGGGGTTGTCAAGTCCCAACTGCTTGTCTTCTCTGTTTGCTTTACTCCCGAAAATGCTATCCTCTTTTCAGGGTTTGACCGATGACATAGCGCACATCACACCACTGGTTCACTAAGTGACTCCCTCCAAGCAGCACTTCATTTAAAATTCGGGGTTTTGTACCTAAGATTGTGCCTTTGTCACCTGTGCAGGAGTATAGAGAAAAGTGCATAATAAAACCTAATTCTAATTCCGTACTGATGCTTTTTGTGTATTGTGGGATGCTGCTACATTAGTGGAATAATGTCACGAGAAGTTGCGCATGAAGTTATTTGTGCAGTATCTGAACCAAGCTAGCTGTGGTTAAACAATGTTGCACATGCCTGCGAGTTGGGTTATTAATTTCCCCTCTTCCTTGCTTTCACTTTCTCCCTGATGTATCTTGATGCCAAGCCAGACTGATTTTATAACCTCGTAAATTAAGTCTACAGGCTGTTTGGGAAATGAATATCACTGTTCAGCCAATCCATTGTTCCATTCCAATCATCCATGAACAAATTGAGTTGAAGGGGGTAGAAGAAAGCCTTTAATTTCTGTAACCTCTTTCGTAGTCTCGACATTGCACAGTGCTTTGCAGCTAGTGAAAGCTTGTACTATTGTAATGGAGGAAGTGGAACAGCCAGTTTGCACACGGTAAGCTCACACCTGTCTGTGCACCACCACATTGGCTGTTGAAACCCTCATCCATCTCATCGATACCTTTCGACTTTGACTATTGTGAAGCATCTGGCCAACTTCCTTCTGACGTGGGTTAGAACTCATTCCAAAAATCTACCTGTGTCCTCACTCATCAAGTTCCCATGATGCCAGTGCTGCTGATCTGCACTGGCTTCTGGCTTGGATATGCCCCAGCTTTAAAATTTGCTTCCTTGTTTTCAAGGGGCTGTGATGGCATGGTAGTATTGTCACTAGACTATTAATCCAGTGACCCAGTATTGTTCTGGGTTCAAATCCAGCCACGGCAGATGAAATTTGTCATCTAACAACAACCATGTTGATTGTTGGAAAAACCTATCTGCTTCCCTAATGTCCTTTTTTAGGGAAGGAAACTGCCAGCCTTACCTGGTCTGGTCTACATGTGACCCAAAACCACCGCAATGTGGTTGACTCTTGGATGGGCAATAAAATGCCGGCCTGGCCAATGTCACCCACGTCATGTGAATTAATTTAAAAAGGAAAGGCATGTACCACCTGATCTGTAAATTCTTCTAGCCACTGTCATTTGACCAAAGATTGTGGCTGTTTGTTATTATGTGACGTGGTGTCAAATTTTGGTCACGCTCCTAAAGATTCAGGGGAAACTTTTGTACAATAAAGTTGCTATATCAGGGAAACTCCCCTTTCAAATAATAGAATTGGCCTTTTGTGTCTACTGGAGATTGCAGACAGTTACTTTGGATTGATCTTGTACTGTGGATTAGTATAAGGGAACTCATTTTAATATTTTTTAAATACAAGAATTTTAACTAATTGGCCTTCTGGTGAGTTAAGCTGGTTTGAACACAGGTGTGACTGGGAAATAATTCACTTTGAGGCCTAAAGGTGTCTGGAAGTTTTTCTTTATGTAGCAGTGAGCCTAATGTATAGACATAGGTTTCTGTACCTGAGACAACTGCCAACTGTAAATGATCAATCTTCATGATTGAGATGGAGTGTAATTGCCTGTGATTAGACAAAGATAGCCATTGTTGTTTAAAACAATCTGGAAGGAAGTCCATGGGTATGTAATCACAAAGTGAACCAGTGGTCCAGCCATTAACAACCTACTAATTTGCTTCATTACCCGGCACAATTTCTTGTACGCCTATGCTTGCCTCTGGCATTGCCTTGCCTGTTTTACTTTGAACTGGTCAGAATACTTTCTCTCTTACTGGCAGAATATTGAGTTGTAAATGTTCAGGTATAAAATTATTTCTGGACCCCTGAAATGGCTAAATGTACAACTGGTGTTGGGTAGATCTTGTCTGTCACCCCTGTCCTATTCAGGTTACTGCTGAGATTAGCTTTGAATCAAAGGGGAACATTATGTTGCTTAATTCAAATGTTTTTTTCATTCTTGAAATGAGATTGTGTCACTGTTGGAGTGTCCCTTAGAGAATGTTGATTGGATTAATCCAGTGAGAAATTCTGGCAGATGAATCTGAATGTGAGAGTATGAAAAGTCATCAGTTTAGATGTAAACTAAGAGTGTTTAGAATATTTTCTGATGTTTTAAACTCAGGAGCCAGAGATTTAGTGCATATCAAACACGTGAATGGACCATGGAAAGTTGGCTTTTATCTCAAGAGGACTGTATACAAAGGGGAGGAAGTGATGCTAGTTTTATAGCAGGCCCTTCTGGAGTAGCTGGATTCCGTTCTGGGCCCTGCTTCTTGTGAAGGAGCTGTTGGCTTTGGAGGGTAAGCAGAGCAGATTCACTAGAATGAGTCTGAGGCTAAAAGTTGTGTTTTGAGACCAGCTGCATAGGTTGAGTTTGCACTCTCTTGGGCAGTCCGGAATAGAGGGCAGAGCCTCCTTAAAAATAGCGCCAGCTGGCCAGGTGTTATTAGAATAGTCAATTTGAAAGGTATCAAAGACATTGGTGAGGGTTTCAGCAGCCAATGAGGTGGTACATCGAAGTGTGGGAGCATTATTACAATTCCTAAACACAAGCTAGGCCCAGTTGAGAAAATCAAGCAACTGTTCAGTTCAGGCTATGGAACTATAGTAGGTTGATATAACACAGTGTGGAGCTGGAGGAACACAGCTGACCAGGCAACATCAGAGGAGCAGGAAAGCTGACGTTT